CTGACATTACACAGCTGTCACATTACTCTGACATTACACAGCTGTCACATTACTCCGACATTACACAGCTGTCACATTACTCTGACATTACACAGCTGTCACATTACTCTGACATTACACAGCTGTCACATTACTCTGACATTACACAGCTGTCACATTACTCTGACATTACACAGCTGTCACATGACTCTGACATTACACAGCTGCCACATGACTCTGACATTACACAGCTGTCACATGACTCTGACATTACACAGCTGTCACATTACTCCGACATTACACAGCTGTCACATGACTCTGACATTACACAGCTGTCACATTACTCTGACATTACACAGCTGTCACATGACTCTGACATTACACAGCTGTCACATTACTCTGACATTACACAGCTGTCACATTACTCCGACATTACACAGCTGTCACATTACTCTGACATTACACAGCTGTCACATTACTCTGACATTACACAGCTGTCACATGACTCTGACATTACACAGCTGTCACATTACTCCGACATTACACAGCTGTCACATTACTCTGACATTACACAGCTGTCACATTACTCTGACATTACACAGCTGCCACATGACTCTGACATTACACAGCTGTCACATTACTCCGACATTACACAGCTGTCACATTACTCTGACATTACACAGCTGTCACATTACTCTGACATTACACAGCTGTCACATTACTCTGACATTACACAGCTGTCACATTACTCTGACATTACACAGCTGTCACATGACTCCGACATTACACAGCTGTCACATTACTCTGACATTACACAGCTGTCACATTACTCTGACATTACACAGCTGTCACATGACTCTGACATTACACAGCTGTCACATTACTCTGACATTACACAGCTGTCACATTACTTCTGACATTACACAGCTGTCACATGACTCTTGACATTACACAGCTGTCACATTACTCTGACATTACACAGCTGTCACATTACTCTGACATTACACAGCTGTCACATGACTCCGACATTACACAGCTGTCACATTACTCTGACATTACACAGCTGTCACATTACTCTGACATTACACAGCTGTCACATTACTCTGACATTACACAGCTGTCACATGACTCTGACATTACACAGCTGTCACATTACTCTGACACTACACAGCTGTCACATTACTCTGATAAATAAAACTAAAGAAAATACACAGGTAAAATATAGCCCGTTTAATTTTAACCATCACGTATCTGTCACTCGAAATAAAATGACCAGATGAGGAATAGAATGTAAAAATAAACGATTTGAGAATTAAAGATGAAGAGCAGGTAAGTAATATAATTAAATGGAGAGTGGTAGTAAGGATTGTGCACGATTGGGGGGTGGGAGTTGGGTATGTGAATGTGAATGTGTGTGCGTGTGCGTGTGCATGTGCGTGTGTATGTGCGTGTGCGTGTTTGTATTGGGGGTAGGGGTGGGGGTGGGTTGGATAGAGGCTTGTGTCTCTTGCAAACTTGAAGACAGGCGCTACCCACCAATTTTATAGGTTCAGGTGGTAATACCCTCATGGCCAAACGCAGATCTCTAGGCGAAATATGTGAACTTGACAGCTGGCGATGGGTCAGCCTAGATTGATCCTACAATACGGAGGTGGAGAGGGACGTCATACTGCTTCAGCTAGTCAAGACACGTACAGATGTCTCTTACAGGAATCGAACCCTGGCCTTTGCGAGTCGAGCGAACGCTTTAACCCCTGGACCATCCCGTCGCCCCTCAAACATAAACCTTTTTGGAAATGATTGTACATGAGTAATGACTAACACTTATGGCACAATGGACATTGACTCAAACTGTTTGTTGCATTTACCCATTGATTACAAAGCAAATTGAATAGAGATAATTGATAGTGATTGAATATAATAATTAGATAATTTTTGGTGATAGCAAATATCACCGTAGTTCTAGTCTTGCACATGTTTTTTTTGTGTCCTAAATGTACATAATTAATCATGTGTGAAAATATTGAATTATTTTCTTTATGAACTTATATGTGAACTCATAACAGCTCCACCATACTGAAATCTTTGAACACGAGTGTTTGTTGCCATGTGGGCGCGGTGGGCGAACTGGCCTAAGCGCCAGGCTAGTGATCCAGCGAGCTTGAGGTGACGGGATCGAGCCCACCTGTGACCGAGCGTAAAAACCTTGAAGTCAACTTTGTGTGCGGACTCTTTTAGTGTTGTCACAACCCCTAATGTACAGTACACAACCCTGTGCACTTAAAAGAACCTACGAATCCGTTGGTATATGACCAGATGGTTGCCACCTAGTTGCCTTTGAGCAGCCGAGCTGAGCTGGATATAGGCGTTATACAAATGTTAGTGTGTGATGTAATGTAATGTATGGTGTGTTGTCAGTGTATTCTCAACATATCATGACACGACATAAACAGATGCATAGAATGCTATATCTATACAAGAGTATTTTCCGTTTGTTGTAACGCGGTTCAAAGTTACCCACTCGTCCTTAATCTTTATAGAAACTGGTTCAATACAGAGGACGAAACAAGAATGAACGTTCCCGAATACTCCAACACTACGCCGTCATCATTGAAAGACTGTGGTGAAAGACTGATTCGTAAACGATGAATAAATCATCAATACATTTCCTGTCGATAATATTAATGTTATGCAGGCAGACTTCCCCGAGAGAGCAGTTTGTATTAGTCATGTCTGTCGTGGTGGGGCGGGTAGCTACATAACGTGCACAGCACAGTACAGTAGGCCATACTACCAAGGGCAATAGACACTGACGAGTGTACACTGCATAATGTTATAAGCTGAAGACCAATTCTAACCCGTGTCTTCATGATTTTGTTTTATTCCTTAATAAAACCATGATCATTTGATATTAGAAAACTACTCCTTCAGTGATAGTAAGTTTGACATAGTAATCCGAAATTAGGAGTTATCCGGTTTATAACTGGTGTGTTAAAAGTTGGAACTATCGATATTGTGTCGGATAGTAACTACCACAAGGATCAGTGGATAGCTGTCTGAAAAATCACCGGGCAGCCATGACCATTCATTGCGTGGATTTCGATTGATCCCTACCAAACACATTCTCTAGGAAGTCGGGTTTAGATGATACATGAGGGTTAAAGTGCAGGCGTTGACTGACTATGAGTGTTGAAAGTAAATAATGTCAGCAGGGGTTGGTGATGAACTGACTATGAGTGTTGAAAGTAAATAATGTCAACAGGGGTTGGCGATGAACTGACTATGAGTGTTGAAAGTAAATAATGTCAGCAGGGGTTGGCGATGAACTGACTATGAGTGTTGAAAGTAAATAATGTCAGCAGGGGTTGGCGATGAACTGACTATGAGTGTTGAAAGTAAATAATGTCAACAGGGTTGGCGATGAACTGACTATGAGTGTTGAAAGTAAATAATGTCAGCAAGGGTTGGCGATGAACTAACTGACTATGAGTGTTGAAAGAAAATAATGTCAACAGGGGTTAGCGATGAACTGACTATGAGTGTTGAAAGTAAATAATGTCAGCAAGGGTTAGCGATGAACTGACTATGAGTGTTGAAAGAAAATATTGTCAGCAAAGGTTGGCGATGAACTGACTATGAGTGTTGAAAGTAAATAATGTCAGCAAAGGTTGGCGATGAACTGACTATGAGTGTTGAAAGTAAATAATGTCAACAGGGGTTGGCGATGAACTGACTATGAGTGTTGAAAGTAAATAATGTCAACAGGGGTTGGCGATGAACTGACTATGAGTGTTGAAAGTAAATAATGTCAGCAGGGGTTGGCGATGAACTGACTATGAGTGTTGAAAGTAAATAATGTCAGCAGGGGTTGGCGATGAACTGACTATGAGTGTTGAAAGTAAATAATGTCAGCAGGGTTGGCGATGAACTGACTATGAGTGTTGAAAGTAAATAATGTCAGCAGGGTTGGCGATGAACTGACTATGAGTGTTGAAAGTAAATAATAATGTCAGCAGGGTTGGCGATGAACTGACTATGAGTGTTGAAAGTAAATAATGTCAGCAGGGGTTGGCGATGAACTGACTATGAGTGTTGAAAGTAAATAATGTCAGCAGGGGTTGGCGATGAACTGACTATGAGTGTTGAAAGTAAATAATGTCAGCACAGGTCAGGGAAGACTAATTCCATTGCCTTAAATCGTGGTGCAAACAATTTCAACAATGTTTGTAAATTATCAAAATACCGAGATAAATGTAAATAGGAAAATATCAATCTTGATAGGATGACAAACACACGCCTTTTCACCCAATGAATATTTTGAACATTGGTGAACACAAAAATGTCAAAAGTCCCAATGCACTTTTCTGCGGGACACTGATATTCTATATATTAGATTTAAATTGTATATACTACAACAGAACATTGGCAAAGTCTTAACAACAACACATAAACGGAAACATAAACGACTCACTCTACTGAAATACACTGTGTATGTATATATATTAGGAGTTGTCTGGACAAAAGCCCCTCGCTAATTTGAGCATCCCTGTCAAAAGCCCCTCGATTCACGTATTTCATAAAAGAATAAACATTTCTCATGGCTCTTATATATTTTATACTGCACTATGTTTTATAAAGTGTTCTTATATATTTTATAGTATTTTAAGTATTTTATCATACCAGTGTAAAGGAAATGGAGCTAATTTGCTCAAGTATGAGCGACGTTTATATATATTTCTGTGAAAAACATTTGACTAAAAATTGATCATGGAGCTGTGCTTTGAAAACAGAACGCTGTCCGTTCTACTGAGGATTTTCTTTCCGCCATAGGCAACAACATATGTTTAATTATTAATTATTATGTAAAACAATTATTCGAGTCATTAATAATTTATTGTTGATTTGTTTTCATTTGTATGATGATATTTTTTTCTTATTTACTGAAATTATTTGCTAATGACAGAATTATTTATATAGTAATTAGGGTCATTTTTTTATGAAGCAATACGTTGTTTCATGTTATTACTCATTTCTTGTCTTTAATCTTATTTTCCCATTATTACATAAAGTGGGGGGCTTTTGGTCATTTTTCGAGGGGCTTTTGTCCTGGGGGGCTTTTGGTCGAGGGGCATTTGTACCAAGGAGCTTTTGTCCCGAGGGGATTTTGACCTAGACCCGTATTTTAGTAGAGTGAGTCGTTTATGCTTCCGTGGTTCCATCAGTAGACATTATGGAGGGTAGGTATCACATTTGTGATATAATCATACATTATTAAATGTTTCATCAAACATTCTAATATATTTAACCGCAAATACATGCAACACTGCTGACGCACCTTTAAGCAGTATTTACTTATTCACGCACTAAGCCTTGTGTGTAGCAAATACCCTAAGCAAGTCACTTCAAATGTTTTCTATGCATGTGTTGGTATACCTATAAAAATCAATTCAGTAAATATTTGGTGTGAAAGGTATCAGTTGAGTTAACACAGGATCCTTTGTGTGCCCTGTAGATACTATTTACAAATGCAGTGTAGTGTCAGTTGAGTTAACACAGGATCCTTTGTGTGCCCTGTAGATACTATTTACAAATGCAGTATAGAAATAATGTCTCTGCAGTCACCAGACATGACTGATTCCAATATTGCATAAATACCCACACTGAGTACCTATCATCGCAACTTGACAAGGGCTGGTAAACAACTTTTGTCTTTTATGAATAACATGTATCGGCATTATGACTACTGAACATGTGACAAGCAAATGTAATGTGTAAACACTGAGAAGAGGGGAACAAGGCCATTGTGTAGAAGGCAGTGTGTGAGTGAAATGTCTGTCATTAAAATAGTTACAACAAAGAGCGAATGGAGACTGCAGTTTGTAACACCCGTATACTCTGCATGTCATGGCAGTAGCTTAACTGTCATATGTGCATGTGTCTATGAGAAGACGTGCCGCCACCCTGAACAGTACTTAGCTCTTTGTGCAGAAAATGTATACCAGTTCAGGTATAGAAAACAGGGATATGTTCTTACTACAGCACGTAGGTCTCTTGATTCCAACTGCGTGATTCCGACTTGGTTTCTGTTTGACTTGTCAACGCCATGACATACCACTACACTGACTAAAGTTCTACTGACTGACTGACTGAGTTTAGTTTTACGCCGCTTTTAGCAATATTCCAGCAAGATCACGGCGGGGGGACACCAGAAATGGGCTTAACACATTGTGCCCATGTGGGGAATCGAACCCGGGTCTTCGGCGTGACGAGCCAACGCTTTAACCACTAGGCTACCCCACCGCCCCGATTAAAGTTCTACAGTTCATAGTAGTGTGATAGTTCAGTACAATCACCATTGGTACAAACACCAAAACAATGTTGAACACGACAAACACAGACAGTTCACATTCACTTGCAAATATATGTAAATATCTCTGAAAACAGAAAACACTTATCAATATTTCCGGAAAGAGATAGAGAAACATACACTAATTGATGGTTTCGTTTTCCTTCAGCTGGTCTAAAGATGTTATGCATAGTCAGATCAATAGCTTGAATATATGCGGAGTCAACTACATTAAATAACTTTGGTCCGAGACATTTCATGTACTCCCAACCCGTATAACAAAATATCCGATGCCAGTTCCAATAATTTAATGAGGTTAGACCCGGTATTGTTGTCTGCCTCTACGCCTAGGTTGATTTGGGCGGCACAGAGAAATTATATTAGCTTTTCAGCAGGAGTGTCTAAAACTCGGGCCGGGCGGCGCCTTTAGGTACTACTAAAATGGATTGCAGAAGATTAAAACGAAACCTGCGCATATATACACTTCCAGCGTTCACAAGTATATTATTTGAATGAACATGTATATTTAAAATCACATCAAAGGAAAAGTATGAATTTCCCGTAGAAAAGAAGATTATAAGAAAAAAGAACTTGGTAAAAAGTCATTTTGTAGTAAAAGCTGGTCAGAGACTAAGATTATAGAAGAAAGTCCTTGTTACAATATAACACGTGTAAAGTTAACTGGTTCGTGAAGCCCTTTTCCGTCTCCATTCCCAAAATAGCCTCAAAGTGGACTGGTAACTAGTTTTGAGTGAGATGCAATCAACTAAAATGGTTGATCAACAAACGGAGACTCTTAACTGTTTTTACTACTGATCAAAAGTCATATTAAATCGGTGAGCACATCATGTCTTTTTAGATGTCGTTTAAAACATCGAATATTAAATTAAATAATTAATCTGTCATTATATGTGATTTCTTCTGATCTATTCGCGGTATTTCAAAGAACATCATACCGCTCTTGCTGAGGAGTTGTCCGATCAAAGTTACAACATACAAAGCCTCTGTATGTTTTATAGTAGACACATGCATTACATTTCCAAAGTCATATTGACACTGTGCCATGATAACTACGTGCAGAGCCAAACATACTAAATTATATAATACTAGTTAGGACCTCCTCAGTAACCTTCAGTATCTAAGCCTTGGTAGTGAGTGAGTTTGGTTTACGCCACACACAGCAATATTCCAGCTATATGGCGGCAGTCTGTAAATAATCAAGAATAGACAAGACAATCCAGTGATCAACAGCATGAACATCGATCTACGCAATTGGGTTACGATGACATGTATCAACCTGATCCCGTTGGTCATTTCGAGATCGGATACATCAGTGACAAAATGATATCCTGTGTACCCTCTTATTCTCATCACTGTTTGACGTTGAAATATTAACACATACTCCCGATACAGTCGGAACTGTACAATCTGCTTCTAGTGGTGACGTACCATGGACAAGGTTATGCTGCTATTATCTACGTCAGGTCGACAATGTTATAGGCTTTGTTTTAGCTCTATAGCGAGCTATATATCGGAGACAATACAGACTAATATAGTGGGCAATACAGTGAGTAAGTGGCTGAGTAAGTGGCTGAGTATAATTTTACGCCCCGTTTGGCAATATTCCAGCAATATCATGGCGGTCGACGCCAGAAATAGGCTTCACACATTGTACCCATGTGGGGATTCGAACCCGGGCCTTCGGTGTGACGAGCGAACGCTTTAACCACAAGGCTACCACCCCGCCCCGAGCAATACAGACTTATATTTAAGTGAACGACATTGTTTCACATAAGAATGTCTTCAGTCCAGTCGAATCACCAACAGGTTTCGATTCAAGTATTTTACACTCAGAACCGAGTTGTTTAGAACGTGTATCAACATCGGAGTGGTGGTACACTGGCGAATTCTTCAGTTTTAGATACATTTTAAAGTCATTGTTTGCATAATATTATCTGTTTTTGGACTTATCACAGATGAATAATATGTCATTTGAATTCCCTGTTCATGAAATAATATCCCACTTGATATATTTAAACCATACTTAGAAACATATCTCTGGAAACATATGGTGAACAGTTTGTAGCATTACGTCAGAATGTGTTTCCAACAAAACATCATCAGTTTCATTGTCGAAAACACTTTTATAAAGTCTTTGAAAGCAGCAATTTTCGGTTGTTTTCCGCAATGTTTATGACTGATGGAATAGCAGTTCTTGTGTGAAGTAGTTCTGATGTTCATGCCCCAATATGAAATCCTTCCACAGACGCACGAGTCGCAATTCGGCTTGTCCCGGGTAAACACGAGTTGGTCACGAATGCCACAAGCAGCATCGGCGTCGACACGGTGGCTGTTTGTGACGTCTGAAAAACCTGAGAAAATACGTGAACTGGCGTTTACAACACACTGAACTGAGCAGCACTAGGCTACTCCTAAACCAAGAATTACTGCAGTGTTTTTGCTATCTTGGTTGCATTCCGCCATGAACAGTTGAATGTAAAGGTTCATACATCCACAGTTGGTTGGGCGGAGAGTTATGTTTCAAGGGAAGCAACTCTGTATGACCCACCTCCTCTCATATGTCAACCAGCAATGGAACAGTTGAATGTACAGGTTCATATATTCACAGTCGGTAGGGGGGTGTGTGTTATGTTTCAAGGGAAACAACTCTGTATGGCCCATCTCCACTCATATGTCAACCCGCAATGGAACAGTTGTATGTACAGGTTCATATATTCACAGTCGGTAGGGGGGTGTGTGTTATGTTTCAAGGGAAACAACTCTGTATGGCCCATCTCCACTCACAAGTTATAGATCATACTCAGGAAGTGCTATACACCATGTTCTTCATCTTCGACCAAGTGTACCACATTCCATTACATGTTGGCGTCGGTCTTCAACACAACACACAGAGGAAAAGTATATAATCAATTGAATCTGTCAACATCATTTGTTAGAATAAATAAAACAGCACCATTAAGGTGTTCATTTGCAGTACGACTTCTGTCTCTGCCGCAGGTATATGAGTCATTCTCAAAAGTTGCAGCTATTTCGTGTACAAAAGACAACATAATTGAAGTACAAAATCGTAAATCTTTATTTTCACAAATGGCACGATACGTTGTTAAGGTTCACATATCAATAGTATCTAAGGCTTAATTATGTGCCATATTTTTATGAAGACTAATTAAGCTAATTAGGACGAAGACACAATGTCTTTCATGTATCAACAGTAATATCCACATTTGTCTTAAAAAATACATTGACATGTAAAGATATTGCATTGTACAATCTACCTTATGTGTTATTTTGTTACTCACACTTAAAAAATAAGTTCTAAAAATGTATTTTTATGAAATAAACCTGTTCTACACTGTGTCAGATGAAAAAGTGAAATATGTGGGTACTTTGCAATACTCTTGATATCCTTTGAACTGTCTCCCCTAAAAAAACCTTTGCACTGAAGGTTATTTGAAGAGAACATGTTTTTTATATTTCTGAGTGATTTCTGGCAATGTCTACCTCTTTAGATCATAAAACATTTACTTTTTAGTCCTTTTATATGAAAGACAGTATCGTTATGCCAAAGACACCCCATATGTTACTGGAAAGAAAGTATATCAAATACATTTGAAAAACTATTTAATTGTAGCAAATACCTTTGATCTATCTGTAATGACAGGAAGAGTTTTTTGCATGTTACCCCCAGAAGTATAGTAAGTGTTACATGTTATATTTATATCTCCAAATAAGGTGAGTAACAGTGACATGTTTCTTACAGTGAAGACAATTCAATCGTATATTTGAGTTAGGATAAGAATGCATCTATGGCAGTGAAGATAAGATAGGTTCACATTAATAAATTTATAAAAGTATTGTTTTTACCATACTTGAAGTGATAAATATATAGTTTATATTTTGGAACATAGCCTATGTGTTACCCCAAAGACATGTCAGTGTTACTGGAAAGACATTTCAGATCAAGTCGATGGAAGACAAAGAATTAAATTCTGGTGTTCAATAAAAACTTTAGACATTGTGCTTTGAATAAACAACAGTGAAAGTAGCAGTTATCATTTTGAAATTTGTTTTCTAGGAACTCAGAAACTCATTTCACAACAAGTCTGACAGTAATTGTCATGCATTTATCAAACTGTCAAACAGGTTTGCAACCAACAAAAGTTTTTTGATCACC